GCCCCCCCCCCCCCCGGCCTCCGCTACGTCGCCGCCCCTTAGACAAACTCCTTCCCTCCTCCTGCAATAATCGAAGTAAAAAAAAAGCTGTGGCTCGCCTTTCCCGCCGTGCTTGCCGACCTCTGCCTTTCGATTACAGCGAAGCCGGGGCTTCGGATTCATCACGTTCGCCGAGCCCGGAAGCGTGGACAAGGTCCTCAAATGTCCGATCCACACCCTCGATGGCAAGAAAATCGACCCCAAGCACGCCACGCCCAAGAACCGTGCCAAACAGGCCAACCGCACGAAGAAGATCTTCGTGGGGGGCGTGAGCCAAGATACGAGCAGCGAAGAAGTGAAAGCCTACTTCAACCAGTTCGGTAAGGTCGAGGAGACGGTGATGCTGATGGACCAGCAAACGAAGCGCCACCGGGGCTTCGGATTCGTCACCTTCGAGAACGAGGACGTGGTGGACCGAGTTTGTGAGATTCACTTCCACACGATCAAGAACAAGAAGGTCGAGTGCAAGAAGGCCCAGCCGAAGGAGGCTGTGCAGCCGGGCGCCCTGGCTCTCGGCAAGCGTGTCGTCCTTGGGGCCCTCGGTGTCCGGCTCGCGCCCCAGCCGGCGCTTCCTGTCGCGGCCGCAGGCGTGGCTTCGCAGCTCGTCGCCCAGGCACAGGCCCAGGCCCAGGTACAGGCGGCGGCGGCCGCCGCGGCTGCCGCTCAGGTGCAGAACGCGGTCGCGGGCTACGGGAAGCTCTTCGCCGGGGGATACCCAGCTTCGGCCCTCTCGGCCTATCGATACGCGCCCTATCCGATCCCAGCATCGGCGGCGGCCGCGGCAGCGGCAGTCGCCGCCGCCGCTGCAGCGACCCCCGGCCCTCAAATGCCCCAAAATCCAGCGGCGCCCCAGGGTCCAGGCCAACCCCAGGCGAATTCACCCGCGGCGGGCGTCGCGCCACCCAACCCCTACCAAGGCTACTCTCTTACGAACGTCGACATGTCAAGCTTCCAGGGCGTCGACTGGGGCTCCATGTACGGCATGGGTATGTACGTTTAAGGTGGCTGGAGTGAGCGCGTCGACGAGCCCCGCGATTGTCGAGGAGTTGGAGCCGACGCCGCGAGAGCTACGCGACCAGCGAGGTGGAGTTGAGTCGAGACTCCCAATGAGCTCCCCCATAGCGAAACCGACATCCTGGAGAGGAAAACAGCCAGTGGCGGTGGCTCGGAGAGCCCAGGCGATGCGATCTTATCGAAGGATTCGTACTCGCAAGGGAGGGAGAGGCTCTCGTCGTTCCTGAACGTGGCCGGACCAAGAAGGAAAGGTCCGTGACCTGGAGGATCGGTGGCTCTTTAACTTCGAGTCAAGGACATTCCCAGGACTCGGCTTGTCCATCATTAGCGTGAGATGCTACTCGCGCGCGGGATTCCCCTCGTGATGCCGGTGTCGTTGTTACCCACCTTAAAGAATAATGACCTTTGTCTTTTCTTTCTTTCCTAATAAGCCCCTCATCGACAAACACGTAGAACAACGCGTTAGGGTTCCTATTCCAATTGTGCGCTACTGCACTACACAGACTCGCTACTCTCTCTCTCTCTCTCTCTCTCTCTCT